TTCACTCATCCCTTATTTGAAGAGTTAAAACTTCAAGGATAAAAATGAAGACAAGGATTTTAGAAAATCATACTTATAATTCCTGACTCACATTTAATTGGTTTTAATGACTGCAAATCTTTATTTCTTCAGAAAGAATAATATTTGTTAGCTCTTATGACTCAGAAGGGGAAGAGGACTGAGGGAGGGAGGGAGGGGAATGGGGAATAAAGCAAGATACATCATGTACAGGGACAAGTTCATTACATGTATCTAAAATATACAAAAAAAAAAACCCACAAAAAATTTACATGTATATTTTTGTTGCAACATACCACCTACTGATTTATTAAATAACCACTCAATATTATTAGGTAAGCATTCCAGCTACTTTTATGTAATAAAAGTAAAAAGGAACTTTGCATGGTTTGGTATATTTCATTTTATACATTATTTTGTAGGCCTTTATAGGATATAAAACTTAGAAACAATTCTTAATATTCCTATTAGATTTAAATGGTTTAAACTAAAAATAAGACTATATTAAGCACTATTAGTACTTGTAAAATTTTAAAGTTTCTAGACATTTTATTTTTTACTCAATACAAAAATGATTAGCTCACACTACTAATTGCCCAAAACTTTTAAAAAACTAAGCATTCTTTGTTAAAGAACAGATTATAAGAAATATTCTCTATGTCCTTGTTTTAAAAGCAAGATTCTCAAGTACATAACAAATCTAAATCAAAATTCACAAATCGTGGCTGACGTCCTGTCGACTTTCAGCCTACTACAACATAAATCCACACTTGTTATGCATAAACAATTCAAAATTAAAGTTTATAATGGAAATGTCAAAAAGTCGTGACTATCGCACGTCCCTGCGGATGGCTCCACTGTTCTTCAGCCAGGCACGGCAGCTGTGCACAGCTGCCAGACAGCCCGCTTAGGAAATTAAAGCTATCGGAGCTGTAAATAAGGAATATGTAACTACGAATACAGCAACGCCAAAGCATTAGGGACGTTTAAAAAATGAGCAAGATGTGACATAAACACATCTCATAGTTCTCTTTGTAAGCCACTTTCCACTGACTTACAAAGTTACGGTTTTATAATTCTTTTTAAAAGGAAAATTTTTCTACACTGCTGCATGCAGTAATTTTACTGTACATTCTTGACTACAATGCACTCTTAAAATCCTCTTGCACAGCTTGGCATATC